CAATGAAACTCCGCTCCATCCCCTCCTCGCTCCCTCCCCTGCCAGGTGCTGGGAGCAGAGCGGCACCTCCGAGCGTAACCCTTTGCTGTCTGCAACCCTGACAAACCAACCCAGCCCGGGGGTCCCCCGGGGGCTGATGGGGGGTGCGGGGGACCCAGCGGGCTCTGGCAGGGGGTGCGGGAGCACCGAAGGGCAGTGGGGAGCCGTCGCACCAAGGAGTCCCCATGGGTCCCCAGGGAGGAGCATCCCAGGCTGGGAGAACTGGCCCGGAGGGAGTGAACTGGGGTGGGGGGGACCCGTGGGGGTCACTGGCTCTGCCCCGTTTTATCTCACACCAGGGGAACAGGTTGTGGCATCACCCTCTGCCCCGGAGCTCAGCGCTTCCCCATCCTGTTCCCTCCAGTCCCGCCATCAGGAAAAGGCGAAATTCTGCTTCTCCTCCCAGTTTCGCCCCTGCCCCGGACCCGGCTGTGGGTATGGTGAAGGGAGGCACGGCGTGGGGCAGAGCGCTGAGCCCTTCGGGGGGTGATGGCTGAGGCAAGGGGACACTCTTTGGGCCTGGATTTAGTGGGGAGGTTTAATTTTTCTTCCTCTAATGCTGGCTGCTGCAGTGATGCTTCCTCCCTTATTGCACGGCTGGGCAGTCTTCTTTCCCTCCCCAGGCATAAAATCATTAAAAACGGAGAAAATTGTCATATTTCCAGGGTCTTTTTGATTTTGGGGTCTGTGTCTGTGTGTGGCCCCTTCTACTCAGAGCATTTCCCTCCTCCCCAGAGCATCCAGCATCTCCTTTGCCAGAGCCGCAGGCCCGATAGGAAGTTTATTTTTAATTTATTTGTGATTTTGGTTTTGTGGATGTGGATGTAAGTCTGGACAATAACGTTTTTCCCTTCCCTCTGCATGGCAAGGGCAGGAGGTTGTGAATCGTGGCCGTGCCGGGGCACTGCTCCTCTTGGACTTGGGAGATCAGAAGGAAAAGGAAATGCAGATCCTGTTCCCTCAAGCTAGGCGGTTTGATTTCTATATTATTCTAGAAGTAAAGGGATGTCAGGCTGTATTGTGCTTAAAAAGGCAACAGAAGCTGCTGGTTTGCTGCTACAGAAAGACAGATTTGCTTGTGGTGGGGTTTGTCCCACGGAAGGCAGCAGTCGTCCTTTTCCCTCAGCAGAAGTCATAGTACTGAGAAGTAACTTGCCAGGGGCAGGACTAGAATTAAACCTGGTATTTTCTCACCCCCTAAGAGACGATTCCTCCTCTTTACCTCGCTTTACCTTCCTCTCTCTATCCTTTTCATATTCCCTCTTTTCCTGAGCTGCTTTGGAAAGCCAAATCTCGCAGCGACGCTAAAGATGGAACAAACTACAGGGGAAAGAGCACATTGTGAGATGCAGGATGCTCTCGCCCAATGCCCTGCTAGCACTCCCATCTGCACAGCAAACTGGTCCAGCTTTTGACTGCGATTGCAGTGCTGGGATCTGGACAGGGAGGTTTCTCTTAAAGTTTTGGGGAGGGGAGGAAGGTGGGTAACAAAGTGGCTGCTGCCCGCTGCCTGCATCTAAAGCGCCTGCCTGCAGCGCTGCCTGTCGCCTCCTGGGTTTGTTGGAAATCTGAATCAGGTTGGAAATTCCATCTCGGACAGGTGCCACAGGAGTTACCTGGGGGGTTGAATCACTTTTTGCTGGCTATTGGGCAACCTGATTGTTGTTGATGGCCCTTGCTGCCCTGGAGCAGTGGCATTTTGGGGCACGGGAAGACAAGGCACCTCCTTAATGCCAACGGAGGGCGAGAAGCCAGAGAGACCAGTTCCCCCAGTTGACCTGTGCAGAAGGGAGCAAAGGAGTGATGAATCCCTCAAAAAAAGCTTTCTGGTAGCCAGGGCTATTAAGCTCCAGAATATTCATCCAAGAGCAGTGCTGGAAGGACTCCGGGGCCTCCTAAAACCAGAAGGAACAGCGTTGGAGGATATATGGCGGCACTAACGCTGTCCTGGCCCCAACGGCGTGCTGGATACCTTTAATAGGCTTCACGTCACTAACTACTGTGATTTCGATAAAAGATCTTCATAAAACTTCCAAATGCCTGTGCCATCACCTGCTTTTCAATCACTCCAAGCACTGCATCTTCCGGAGCCGTCTGTGCGGTGTGGGCTCAGGTCCATGCCACCCCCCCACCATGCTGGATGCATCCCATCTATTCCCACACTGGTTCCGGGTGGTGAAATACTTTTGGGGAGCAGCTCTGTGGCTCCGATTTGGCTTCTCGTGACTCAGTGAGGCTGAGCTGAGGTCAGCGCAGCTCAGGACGAGGAGGAAGAACAAGGGATAAAAATGATTTAATGTGACATTCTGGGTTTCCTGGTGTTCAGAGGGAGCTGGGGACTGGAGTGGCATAAAGAAGGACTGATTTAGGAGCTGCTCTAGCTCGTCTTGTTCTGTGATGGCTCCCACCGGAGCTACTTAAATAGCCCGTGCGTGGTGAGCATCGGGCTGGTGCTTCCACCTTTCTGGGGGTGGTGGTGGGGATGTCTCCCCCAGTCTAGTCCCAGGACATGTCCAAGCCTCCGTGGCCCATCTGAGGGGTCTGTTCAATAAAAGTGGGCTCCTGCACCTCCCGTGCAGAAATGAGACCTTGGCAGTGGAAATAAAACCACCCAGGCAAGTCCTGGGCCAGCATTTAGGGACAGGTTTCCTTTTAAACACTGGTGTATATAATCCTGGCACTGTAAACTGGGATGGGATTGAGGTGGGAGGAGGTAATGGAAAGGCTGCGTGCTGCCTTGCTGAAGAAAACTCTTGTTCTTGCTGCTTTTTCCCCAGGAGGATCCCAGGCTGGGATGGTGGTGGGGTTGGAAGGGGCATCCCAGCCTCTCGCCAGGCTGTTGAGGGTGGGGTGAGTTGGTTGCCGAGGTTTTGGCTCTGGCTTTGCTCAGCTCGGTTGCTCGGAAGCTGCAGCTCCAGCCAGTGGGTGCCAAAGTGGGGTTTGCACATTTATTCTGCTGGGTTTTGCAAATAAAGGAAGATCCAGTGACCAAAACTGCTCCTTGTCCTGCGTGGGCTTCTCCAGGTGGGTGAGACGTGCCCCTGGGATCCCAGCAGGGTGATGGGGCTCTTCCACCTGCATTTCTTCGTGCAGAACCTGACCCCAAGGTCCGGCCGCCCCAGCTGGGGCTCCAGGGGCTGCTGCTAAAATATACTCTGGGGTTGTGCAAATTTCCAAACTCAAACGTTACCCGTGTGTTTCTTGTGCTTGGGAAACCTTTTTTTTCCCCCCAAGTCCAGGGCATCCGACTCTCTGGGAGGGATGTTGCCATTGCAAGGAGCAGGAGCTGGGTCTGGGGGAAAGGAGGACGCAGCCTCTCGCACCTCTCCCCATGCCCATCCCGCCGGGGGGAAACAACCTGGGCTCCAGGGGAGCAGCTGAGAATTTTTATTTTTTTTTTTTTTTTTTAAGGGATGATTTAGCTGAAAGCTGAGCTGAAGGAAGCCTTGGCAGTGCTGCCAGGCCCTTTCTCCCCTGTGCTGCTCAGCCCAGCTCCGCATTTCTTTTCCTGGGTTTCTATTGCCCTCTAGTGGGACCCTGTGCTGGGAAGATGGGCTCAGCCTGGGGGTGCTGGGGTGGGGGGGTCTCAGCTCTGCCGAGAAATCACAGATGCTGAGCACCAGGAGGGAGTGAAATGGGGAGGGGAGAGGCTCTGGCAAGCACCTCCCGTTTAGCAAAGCAGCTTTCTATTAACAGATCTTATTTTTGGAAGCTTTTTTTTTTTTTTTTTCCACGAGGCATTATCAAGCTCAGCAGAATTAAGGATAGAAGAAGATTAGAAAGACAAAAAAGGCCGGAAAGGAGGAATATATTTTTAAGCAGAAAGGTTGCAGGTGTGTGATGGTGGGGGAGAGGCTGGCTGTTGGCAGCATTGCTGGCAGAAACAGCAAGGAAGAGGGTTTTGCAGGGCGCTACTGGGCATCTTCCTCCGGCAACGTGCCACCAACATCCACGTACGCAGAGGCAGTTTGGTTACACGGGACACACGTGCCGTGGGGTCCTGGTGGCTTTGGAGGACGCCAGGCAGGTGTCTTAAAGGTTCACGGCCAAAGGGAAAGGGCTCGAATCTCTGGTGTCGTGGAGGAGGAGAGCCGTGGCACAACGGAGCTGCCCGGGGGGGGTCCAGTGCCCCCGTAAAGCCACGGGGCTGCTCTTGCGAAGCTGGAGCAGCTGCCTGGCAAGCAGCACTGTCAGGACTGTGAGTGCCAAAGACCAAAAAAAAAAAAAAAACCAAAAAAAAAAAAAAAAAAAAAAAAAAAAAAAAAAAAAAAAAAAAAAAGAGAGCAAAGATGCTCTGGGAGAGACAGCAAAGATCGGGAGGTCAGGGAGACTGGCTTCTGCAGAGACTTAGAAGCAGCAAGGGAGCGTGGCGAGAGAAGGAACCCAAGCCTTCAAACCCCTGACAGCTGTAAGGGGAGGAGGATAATTAATTCAGGTGTTGATTAAGAGTGATCTACAGCCTGAGCTGCTGTGTATCCCCTGATGCAGCCCTTTCCCCTTAGAGTTACCCCGGGAAA